CCAGGGGTCCCCAAGTCAGCCGCTGCTGAAACAGATCAGCGGCTGACTCCAGGAGCCCACCCCGGGAGCCCCCCAGCTGTTCTGCTCCCAGCTTCCCCGATTCAGCTGCTAGTCAGTTGCAGCAGCAGCTGAATGGGGGAAACCTGTCCGGCTGCCCTAGCACTTCCGGGTTCCTGATGGTGTCGGACCATCAGGAGTCCTGGAGCATTGGATGCCGGACTAATGGAGTTTTACTGTACCATGTATTAATCAGTAACACAGGATTTTAAAAAAATCATTAAGACCAGAGATTTAGATATTTGAAACACTCCAAAAAAAAACTTGTGTTAAAAGAATATTTTTCTTTCTTACCTTAGGCCATTAACACCTATGTAAAGTTTGTTTGAAATGTAATCATGCAAATGTCCTGGCACACATACCATGCAGCCTGCTTTCCCCCTCTCCCTTCCAACCAAGCCAGTCAAAGAAGACTGCAGCAAAGTGAATCAGGCAGACACCCCAAACAAACTGCTCCCTGACTCCACTGCACAGAAACCAGAACACATCCACCCCTTCTTTCCCCCACCTACTCCATGCAGTCAGCCCCTTACCGCCCCTCCCAGCTCAGGAGGTTGGAGGAGACTGCTAGGTCTCTGCCTTTCTCTCTCCTTGCACATGGGACTCTCCAAACTCCCCTCCTCTCTGACTTCCCCCCTCCAGCCAATTTAATTAATTACCACCACTACCCTTCCAAAGCCATTTATTTATTCTTATCTTGCTTACCTGCTCTGAGAGCTCCTCAGTTCAAGCATGCAGCTAGCTCTGTTTAGCTGGTGCTTAGAGATGCAACACCCCACCCTGCCCTCACCAGTTAGATGAGCTCCCTGCCTGTGCAGGAGCTCTGAACTTCAGAGTGGGACTCACAAAATAGCTGCGCAGCTTACAGGGAACTTAGCGTGCAAGATAAAAGCACACAAAAGACCAGATTTCATGGTCAATGGTGTTTTTCATGGCTATGAATTTGGTAGGGCCCAATCTATAAAGCAATGTATGCCCATGACAAAATGTAGCTTAATGTTGAAATGACTATAAATAAAGAGTTTGCAGTCTTATAAACAAACTGAAATAAAACCTCTATTTTGAGAGTGTTGAAATGTTTCATTTTGATTGAAAATGTTGCAACACATTTTCAGAATTTTTCCTTTAAAAATTATCAACTTTGTGGTGATTTGATGCCTACAGGACACACATTCATAATTTCCTACAGGACACACATTCAGCTCTATTAGTGATCATTTGATAGAGGACCAAAACATGCTCAAGACTCATAACCATAGTTCCCACCAGCGTTCCCTGTAAAGTGCGTGTCTGCGTGGGCGCGCATCAAGAATTTCATTCCCACCCCCCCCAACAGAGCCACGCAGCTGCAGCCCCAGCTGCTCCTGGGGACAGGGCCACGTGGTGGGTGACTGTCCACCCCAGGAGCAGCTGGGCAGCCACCACGAGGCCAGCATGGTGGCTGCTGGAGCTGGAGCCTGGGCCACAGTACTAAAAATAGCACCATGGCCTGGCTCCAGTCCCAGCACACAGAGCAGCCACCTGCCGCAAGGCCCAGCCCCTGGGAGCAGCTGGGGCTGGGACCTCAATACTAAAAATAGCACTGCGGGCCCAGCTCAAGTCCTGCATGATGTAGCTGCTCCTGGATTACAGTACTAAAAATAGCACCACAGCCCTGGCTCCAGCTCCAGCACACAGGGTAGCCACCCACTATGCTGCCCCACACAGCAGGTGCAAATGTCAGGATGGCAGAAGGCAAGAGAAGGGGCAGAGGGATAACAAAGGAGAAGGTAGGGGTGAGGAGAGAAAGGGGTTTGTGCTGAGGGAAGAGGAGGGGGCCAAGGCAGGAGAAGAAAGAGGAAGGCACAAAGGAGCAGGGTGGAAGAGAGACAAATGCCAGGGAGCCCAAGAGGAGACAATGAGGGGAAAGGGCAGGAGGAGCGGGGTGGGTGAGAAAAAAGGGAGGGGCAAGAGGAAGGAGTAGGAGGTGCCTGGAGAAGAGGGGTTGAAAGGAGAGGTGGTCATGAGGAAGGCAGGGGTTGGAGCAAGTCATGTGTGAGGATGCAGAGGGGTGTGAGGAGAACTGGGGCAGTGGGTGGTGAGGACTTGGGGAAGGGGGGCAGGTATTAGGAAGGCAGGGGCAGTAAGAGGAGCCAGGAGGGTGCCAGGGGACTCTGGAGATGAAGCAGAAGGGCAGACATAGGGAGGGGAGTGGATGGCAGGAACGGGCAGCAGGGGAGGGAGGCAGGGCAAGTGGCTAGAGGGAGGTAGGGTTGCCAGGTGTCCAGTTTTGAACCGGACAGTCCAGTATTTGAGCTTTCTGTTCAGGAAACAAATTGAGAAAATGTAAGTGGCCGGTATTTTCTAAATAAGATGTAATGTCAAATGTGTCCAGTATTTTTGTTGAAACCATCTGACAACCCTAGAGGGAGGTGTTAGGAGAGGGAATGGGGAGGGGTATTAGAGAAGGGGTGGGCACAGCGGGGAAGGGCAGGTGCAGGGGTCAGAGTATGGGGAGGTGGGGCAAGTCCCAAGAGGCCTGAGGAGAGTGAGAGGGGCAGGAGCCAGGACAGCAGGGGAGGGGGAGGGGGGGAGCAGCAGGCGGCTGAGGGCAGGATGGGAGACATGGCAGCAGAGGGGAAAAGGGAGAGGTTTATAACTTGGGTGCCACGGTGGCACATATCTGAACAAGGGCACATGACTTTAATATTGGTGCACAAGACAAAACTCTCCTCATGGATGGAAAATCTTAAGAGGGAACACTGCCTCCCACTAAGGAGTGTGCCTGTGCGGCTGCACACAAAAAATTCTTCACCCGCCCACCTTCTCTGGAGAGCTGCACAGCAGCACTTGCACATCAGGTGGCTGTTTCGGCCAGCTGAGATGGCAGGCGGGCGAGAGAGGAAAAAAACACTGGGTGGCACACATCCAAACCAGCGCACATGACTTCAGTATTGGTGCACAAGCCAAAATTCACTCTGCTCTTAGTAGGAAAAAATTTACAGGGAACACTGCTCATGACCAAGGCAAATTGGACGCAGTGTACAGGAGGAATGACAGACCTGTGCTAGAGATTGCATTGCAGTTAGTCTGGCATATTCTTGTTCCAGCAAATCCAGCTTTTCTAATTTAGACTGAACATGAGATTGATCTAGGAGTCTCTCTCTCTCTAATGTGACCTACAAAGAGAAAAGAAAAAAAGCAAAAACCAGTTAGAAATGCACCACTGTCAAAGCCCCCACAATCATCCAACCCTTAAGTTTGAGAACATACAGCCATCACAGTGCAAGGAAGCCAGGATAGATCTCTGGAGATATTTGAAGGATATAAACATCTAGGAGTAAGGGGAGGAAAATCCCATGTAATTGGATAACCGGTTAAACAGAAGGGCTGTGTCTACACTGGGCCACTTATTCCGGAAAATCAGCCGCTTTTCCGGAATAAGCTACGAGCTGTCTACACTGGCCCTTGAATTTCTGGAAAAGCAACCGCTATTCCGGAAAAGCTACGCTGCTCCCGCTCAAGCACAAGTCCTTATTCCGGAACACTGTTCCGGAAAAGGGCCAGTGTAGACAGCCCAGTAGTCTTTTCCGGAAAAAAGCCCCGATCGCGAAAATGACGATTGGGGCTCTTTTCCGGAAAAGCGTGTCTACATTGGCCACAGATGCTTTTCCGGAAAAAGGGCTTTTCCAGAAAAGCATCCTGCCAGTGTAGATGCTCTTTTTCAGGAAATACTTATAACGGAAAACTGTTCTGTTTTAAGCATTTCCGGAAATTCATGCCAGTGTAGACGTAGCCTATGTTTAGCTGGTTAACAGATTAAAAGGGAGGGCAGAATCACTCCAGCCTGGAGCAGCCCTTGTCTGTAGAGAACCCTAGCCTGCTGTGGACAGAGGCTCCAGCCCTGCCAAAGCAACCCCTATCTGCAGCAGGCCCCCAGCTCCCACTTGTTAACCATTCACATCCCTATCTAGGAGGGAGAATTAATTATGTACAGGTGCACATGGGGCATGGTATTCCGTTGGTTAGTCAGTTTCCCCTAGAGCAGAGTTTCTCAATCTGGGCTGCATTGTGGGGGGGGGGCTCTAGAGGTATGGGAACTGTCATTGGAGAGAACAGACTCAAGATTTATTCATCTGAAGTGATTCCATCTACATTTTTTGTTAAGTCTCTAAGGGTAAGTCTTGACTACATCCCTCTTTCAACAGAGGGATGTAAATTAGGCACTTCAAAATGGCAAATGAAGCCAGGATTTGAATTTCCCGTGCTTCATTTGCATAATCGCGTCATGGTGCTCTTTTGAAAAAGTGCTATTTCAAAAGTAAAACCGCAGTCTAGACGCGGTTTTTTCGAAAAAGGAAGGCTTTTTCGAAAGATCCTGGAAATCTCAAAAAATGAGGTTTACAAGATCTTTCGAAAAAGGCTTCTATTTTTAGATAGAACCGCGTCTAGACTGTGGTTTTACTTTTGAAATAGCGCTTTTCCAAAAGAGCACCATTATGCGATTATGCAAATGAAGCACGGGAAATTCAAATCCTGGCTTCATTTGCCATTTTGAAGTGCCTAATTTACATCCCTCTGTTGAAAGAGGGATGTAGTCAAGACGTCCCCTAAGGTACTGCTAGTTTATCCATTGTTTAAGTTTTTCCAGTTACAGACTAACATGGCTACCCCTCAAACACAAGATTTATTGGTTCATGAACACGCTATGAGAACACATCTACTTAGGGTGTGTCTAAACTACACCCCTCTGTCGGCAGAGGGATGTAAATTAGACACATCGAAAGTGCAAATGAAGCTGGGATTTAAATATTCTGCGCTTCATTTGCATAATGGCGGCAACCGCTTTTTTCCAAAACTCCTGGTACAGCGATCTTTCGAAATGGGGCATTTCTGTCTAAACTGCTGTTTTTTTCGAAAAGCCCCGTTTTGAAAAAAGCAGCAGCTGCCCTTATGCAAATTAAATGCGGGATATTTAAATCCCGGTTTCATTTGTACTTTTGATGTGTCTAATTTACATCCCTCTGCTGACAGAGGGATGTAGTTTAGACACACTCCTACTGACTTCAGTAAGAGACATGTTCATAAGAGCAATTCTTTACTTAGGTTAAAGACCAGTTAAAGCAGCATATAGAATCACATTTCAAGATGCCAGAATTACTCAAGATCATGTCTTAATTCATTAGCTTCCTTAGTACAACCAGCAGGTGAAGGTGGACAGGAGAACTTTACCTGTTTTTCCAAGACACTTGTCTTTTCATTTTCTGCATGCTTTATCATATTCTTCATATAGTCCAGCTGCTTCTCTAGAAGTCTGCAACGAGATTCAGCAGCTGCCAGCTGAGAAGACAGTTCTAAGATATCAGAGGAAGTAGAAATGTAAACTCAGTCATATGTGATACTAGAGGGAGCAAATACGTGCTATTCCAACACAAAGAAGCAGTCACTGCTCCTAAGAGTTCGCAATTTAAAAATCCTTCCACAACTCCAATTACCTAGTAGAGCAGAGCCCTGCAACTGGACTGGGATCCTTGGTGTCCCACAAAACCTATTGCCTTAATAGTAGGAAAAGATAAAATGTGTTTTGTTGTGGGTGAGATTTATGGGGGACAGGGCAAGAGACTTTGGTTATCTGTGAGAAAAATACTTAAAAAAAATCTTTTAATGCTTCTAAAGAAGGGATAGAAAGATCGGATGTCTATGAACAGTATTTTTACAGGATTTAAACAAGAATTGTTTTTATGGTAAAGCTTTTTATTAAAATATATAACAGACCCTTTTTGTCACCAGAGAGAAATCTGTTTCTTCCAAGATCTAAGGTTTCTGCAGTTGGGAGCAGGATAAAAATATAAGAAACATTACAAGAGCAGGTGGGAGTGAGAGTAGGTACTGCAGAGTGATATTGGAGCAAAATTAAAAAAAAAAAAGTCCCACACACAGCAGATTTTATTAGAGTAAAATCTTAAATTAAAAAAAAAAAAAAAGTCCCAAACACAGCAGATTTTATTAGAGTAAAATCTGTAGGAAGCTTTTTTATGAACTAAGACATCACTCCCTCTTCCATAGCTGGACAGAAAAAGTAAGCTCTGATTTTTAATTTTTTTAACACCTTTCTTCAAGACAGTCCTCTAGTTTAGTATCACAATCAACAGGTTTTTTCCTATTTTGAGGAAGTGAGTCTGGCCAATTCACCTGAAAAATCCTGCTGCTAATTGCTGGAATGACTGTAAATTCCTGCATTCACAATGTATAGTCTCTTCAATTAGGCAAGTAATCAGAAGCCTGAAAATTCTACTCAATAACAAATAATAAAAATGATAGGAACTATTTTGTACTGATCATAGACCAGTAGCTTTATTTGAGTACAACTGGAATTATTCCATTTGTTTTTCTGGGAGTGAATTAATCTCTTCATCCCCTATCACGCTAGTGAATATACTCTACTGCTCACTTTGATTCTGCTGAACATAGTACAAGGCTGCACTTATAACAAGATCAAAAAGTTCTGGAGCATTTCTGATTCTGCACTGTAGCTTCCACCACTGGCAGCCTTTGTACAGCTCTAATAGTGTAGAAAAACATTTAACTTTTCCCCGTGTAGACCAACTCAAAGAGGAAATCACTCTAGAATAACATAGGGTGTAAATTTAAAGCACAAAAGATATTCTGGAGTAATTCCCCATATGGACACACACTTACCCTGGAATCACAGGGTCAACACAGGAAGCTAACTTGGATGGAGTTTGTATTGTAATCACACTATGAACTCAAGTTTTCATGTGCACAAACCTTGATTTTGCTTGGACACCTCTGTCTTAGAGTGCTCCCTCTGTTTTATTTGCTCATTTAGCACTTTCTTATAGTCAGATGTTTCTTTACTCAGATGCTTCACATTCTCCTCAGCCTGAATTCGTTCCAGCTCTAGCTGCCGAATTTTCTCCTGAAGATTCTTCAGAGCAGAAAATATTGCTGTGATTGAACAAAACACGATTAGATATCCTTATTGCATGCCCCTGAGAGATGGTGCTTCTGGTTGGCACAAGTTTTAAATGGTTTCTTTTTAAATGTGTTAATATATTAGCAAATTCCATCCTCTTACCACCTTCCCACATTCCCTCCACGTGCCAAAGACCAACAACACCCTTGACCTGCAAGTCTGGTCAACACAGGGGAAATTCTCCCAAAGTCCAAACTGATTTTAAAGTCATCTCAGTTCAAAACTCACTGAGATATTGGGTAAACCACACTGTACTGGCCTGACCAGAGAAGTTTCAGTTGATGAGTTTTAAAAACCAATTAGAGATTTGGGGGCAGTTTCTACAATGCAGCCCAGCCCATTGGTCCACAAACTTTGTTTTGGCTCTGGACAAGATCAGAAGAGTCACTGACTTTCTTTATAAACTCTTTAGATTTGTGCAGGCTGTACACAAGTTATAACCTACCTCCTCTTAAGCAGGGTTGGGCAATAATTTTTTGCCAAGCCCTGGGCTGCACGGGAAGGGGTGGGGCCAGGATGCTTCAGGCTTCCCCACCCACAGACCCTGATTGGCCTTGGTGGCAGGGGAGCGTGCGAAGCCTCCTACTGCCCTACCAGGAGAGCACAATGCTTCAAAGCTTTCCCCTATCCCCAGGCCCTAATTGGCTTGGGGGTGGGGAAGCAGCAGGGCCTTCCTGGGCGGAATCAACCTGCTTGGTGGGCTGGATCCAGCCCACGGAGGCCCTTTTGCCCACCACTGTTTTAAAGCATACTGGATGAATAGAGCTACTGTTCAGTTACAGAGATAAGAGCCTTTACATTAATATAATCAACTAATTTGCTGACTGCATTTCTCATTCTATCAGACAGAAGCTGGCACAGAAGTGATTAGTAAAGTGTAAAACTGATACCCCACTGTAAGCGGAATAGGATATATAAGAAGTTACCTGCCAGCATTTCAGTGTAGCTACACTGTGAATTAGTTTATACTGTGAATTCTCACTGAAACCAGGAAGGCTAACATCAGTCAGAAGAGCTGCAAAAAGGCTCTTTTCTACAGTGTTGCTCTATTTTCCTCCTAAGTTGCCCTTCTGAGTGCCACTTTTGTATCTCTCTCCCACTGCTGGTTTTGCAGCTTTTTCTTATTTTGTCCCTTTGATTTGGAACTTCCTTCCCACTTCACTTGCACTTTTCTCTTTATTCAAACCCCTCCTTTCATAAGCAATTATCTCATAGAATCTTTAGAAGTCAACTACCACAAAAGGGAAATTGGATCATCTTGAGATGAACACATATACTGGTCTATTAAAGGCCCTAATTCTGCAAAGGGATCCACACCTTTTCTCCCATGTGAGGTCCCATTAAAGCAGCACACATCTATACAGAGACACATCTACAGATTATTACTGTGACACCTCCGTACTAAAACCCGCACCGAAGAGAAACAAAGCATGTGCATGTATTAAAAAGATTAATGCATGCAAGGGTGGATATGGACGTCTTGGTATAAGATGACAAAAAGGAAAGAACCATTACTGCAGTATACTGGGCAAATTCTGAAGTAAAGAAACACTGAATTGTAGAATCGTGGAGGGGCAAAAAATACTGTTAGCCTTAAGGGAGTTAGCTCATAATAAATACAATTAAATACATGATAAGTACATGGGTGCAAATTTTTATGTTACAGCTATAGAAACCATAGCATTTAAACTATGGACACAAACAGTCAGTGGCATGTAGCTTAATAGTCAGATGAACTCCCAGATAGGCAGACAGGGTTATAGACAGCATGGGTCTATTCTCAAGAGAGGATTTTTGTTTTGTTTTAATTACTGTACAGATCACACAACCTGGTTTTTGAATTAAGTAAACTTTCTCACATCTCTGCTACCAAATTACCAGAGTATTTTCCACATCAGTGTTTTGGAGTTAACGAATCTTCAGTATTGGGCCATGAAAACCAGAAGAGATTACTATAAGATGCACATCCAGGCTCAAGTTTACCACTACACAACATATGACAAACAGTAAGAAATACACCATCGATAATTAGCAGGCAAACTCTTCCTGCACTATCAAAACTCCTATGTTTCAGTCACAGTGCTTCTTTAATTATGTATCAACCGCACTATCAGAACCAAGAGCAGTTTATGTGCCAGAGTGCACATTACATTTAAGAGGTACTCTGTTTGGATTTTACTCTACCGGCCATTAAGGACTTGCCTTCCTCAAATCAGACTGCACTACATGAATTACAACAGCTGCTCAAACCATGTTATGCTACTTCATAACTTAAGGTTATTACCCAGCTACCCATCCATCCAAGGAATCACACACTTCATTCTCAATGCAGTTTGACTGGCTCAAGATCAGATTTTTAGGCACAGGAGGTAGAATGTGCTTGGTAGTGGGACTCCAACTATGGAATGAATATTGATCAGGGCTGTACTAAATAGCATTTAGATCCAAATACCTTGTAAGAAGTATAGAGTTTCTGTATCTAAATCCCATGGTAAAAGATGCCATAAACATATCTAAGATAGCCATGCTTTATCTGGACTGAAATATTACCTCTGCTGTTACTTTCTGGATATGGAATTACTGGTTTCTCAGGAGAGCGCTGCAAATCAGAATTAATGAAGGGCTTGTACTTCGGATAATCTACAAATGATGCTGCAGATAGCCCATCTGTGACTGATGCTGATTTACAGCTTCCTCGTAGAGCACCCTGAAACATGAAACAAAGTTATTACTTGAAACCCCCATTTTCCAGTCACTAATTGCAGTAGGCAGGGAGAATCAGATGTACATGATATTTATTATGCTATGAGGCTCTGCCACAAATGTATGGGGAGAAGCTAATGGATGCCCTCTGAAGAGCTTTAGAAAGGAGCTGGCAAATTACTCCAGCTATAGTACACATTTCCTCCCCAGCTCCTCCTCATTATTGATGGAGTTCTCAGATGCATGTTGATTTTCAGAAGCACAGCAAGAGATTAATAATGTAATCTACACTGCAAAGGCCAGATTTCCTGCCCCACAATCTGGGACCATGAGCTTCATTTTCACCTGAACTTGTGTCAGAAACAGTATCTGAGGTAAATAAGAAAAAAAAATGTTATTTTGTTCTATCCCCTTGTGTCCAATATCCAGGCTTTGAATAATTTTCAGATATATTATACTCTTTCCTGTTTGCTATAAAGAAGAGAATCCTCCAGGAACTGTGCAGGTAATCTAGTAATCCTTAGGGAAGGCACACTATAAATAGAGTACAATGGCCTGTGCTAGGTTCATGATTTATGCTGTTTTGGGTAAATGACTTAAAAATGTAGTGTTTTATATTTCTTTTAAAATGAGCCAAAAAAAGCCCTGTTTATAACGGCTGTACCCTATACTAAACATTACCACCGCAGAATTTAAAATTAACACAAGGGTGACTCACCTGGATATCAGATAAATTTAGTGCTTTTGCTCCTATAATTTTCCACTTAATGTTTATCCTACAAACAATGTGGCAAATGAAAAAGCCTTCCAGTTCTGGTATTTCAGTACAGGCAGTCCCCGGGTTACGTACAAGATAGGGACTGTAGGTTTGTTCTTAAGTTGAATTTGTATGTAAGTCGGAACTGGTACATATTATAGGGGAAACTCTAGCCAAACATTTCTCCAGAGCTCAGTTGTATTCTCCCACACCTCACTTCCCTCAGTCCTTTATTCTCAAGCTGAGGTGCCTGCTGAGAAAAGCCGCTCCGCGTCTCCCTGGTCTGCTGGGGGGGCGCAGTTAGTGCGGGGTTGCCTCACCCCGTTTGTAAGTAGGGATCCGATGTAAGTCGGATCCATGTAACCCGGGGACTGCCTGTATTGCAAATACCAATGCCTTGTTGGTTTTCTGATGTTTGTTCAGGGCAGTGTTTCCCAAATGGTGTTCCACAGAACCCCAGGGTTCCGCGAAGTGAAAATAAGGGTTCCGCAAGAAAATTCCATTACAATAACATTTTATGATTTTAAAATAATAATTAATATTTAAACATTTATTAATGTTATTGAAAACATCTCATGACCTTGTTTAGCATTTGTTTATTATTATCCTTACTTATTTGTGGTCTACTTTTTCAGCACCATATACAAGACTGTTATTAGGGGTTCTGCAAAATTCTTTCGAGTTTAAAAGGGTTCCGTGGCCAAATAAAATTGGGAAACACTGATTCAGGGAAAAGGAAGATAGAAGGGAACAGAAAATATTAAATATAGAGAAAGCTGATGTGCTCCTATGTCACAGCATCAGAAATGAGCCACTGGTGAAAATTCCCTTCAAAGTGCTGTAGAAGAGGAGAAAAAGAATTAAGGAAGGCCACATGTGAACAAACAGAGAATACTCCAGTCCTATACAGAATACCATCCCACCTTAAAAGCAAAGTGCTTCAACATGGATAATAAGAGACCAGACTCCAGCTGAATATTTGAAATCAAGTATTTTTTTTAATTGCAGAGTGTTACTATTTAAATCCAATATATTTAAATAATCCTTAAGGCTTGATAGCTACCTTTCATTGAGGTGAGCAGATGGAGGAGTTCAAGTTTATGGATAGCTGGATAATCCTAAGGACACTTTAAAAAAAAATTCCCCCATAGCGAAAATAGGTTCAGCTCTACTAGCATGACCAATATTGGGAACCCTAGTGTCAACTGCAACCACTGCTCTAAGCACTGTTTACATGGAGTACAATTTTCAGAGTCGACATCAATTGGAGGCAAGGAAAATCTTGGTAAATGTTTAGCTATTTCATGCACAGCAGTGGTCTGGATACTTATTCTGCAAAGACTTAGACACGGTCTACATTGGAAAGAGTTCAATGGTCTAACTCAGTGGTTCTCAAACTACAGTCCATGGACCACTAGCCTCCCAGTCCTCCCTTGCCCCACGCAGTGGGAAATCCACACTGGTGCTCCAGCCTTCCCCTTCCTCCCTCCCCCACACGGTTGGAGCGCCAGTGTGGATTTCCCACTGCGGGAGGCAAGGGAAGACCGAGCTCAAGCCATGGACCAACTCCAGAGGGGGAGGGGAGAGAAAGCTCTGAGCTGCACTGTGTGATCTGGCTCGCTGGGAAGAAACACTTTCACTCCCCCTCTCACCTCCCCAGCTGGGGGAATAGCAGCGCATGGGCACACTACTTGGAGTATTTCCCCATTGCTCCCATTGGCCAGAATCTGGCTAATGGGAGCAGCAGGAGGCTGTGCTTGGAACCAGCATGGGGCACGAAGGTAAATAAGTGCATCCCCCTGTACCCCAGCCTCCTCATGCGCACATCATGGGGCACGAAGATAAATAAGTGCACCCCCTTGATGCCCAGCCCCCTGTACCCCAGCCTCCTCATGCGCACATACATCCCGCTGAGACCCTGCATCCCCAGCCTGCCTGCCCTCTCCACTCGGCCACATCCCCGATCCCCAACCCACTCTTTCACCTTCCCCTGCTCCTGCCCACTCCCCACTGGCCAGACACCCCATCTCCAGTCTGCTTCTCCCCTTCCCTTCTGACAAGACACCCTACCCCAGGCTGTTCCTGCATCCTCCCTCCTGGCCACACACTGCACCTTCCCTTCCTCTTGTCCCCTTCCCCTGCCCTTACACCCTATTCCCAGCCTGCTCTTGCACCATACCTCCCATCCAGACCTTGCCCTTTTACCCTCCTGCCCAAATCTTGCACCTCCCATCCCTCTCACTGGCAGCCTGATCACACACACTGCATCCCTCATTTTTGTCCCAAACCCAGAGACTAAGGAGAGGTCTATAAAATCCACTAACCCTGAAACCTCAGAAGAGTTAATCTGGCCTATTGGAAGCCCTGAACCTCAGTCCTCCCTGTCCCTCTCCCTTCCCCTGTGGGTCTGGAGTGCCAGAGAAGTGTCTCAGTTGATGGCCATGTCAATGAGGGTTGGAGGTTTTTGGAAGTTTCAGAAACTAACATGAGAAAGTTAAAGCGCTTAACCGTTTAACAATTTAAATTAATATTTCCTTTCTTAGTGGTTAAATTAAACTGTTCTCCCCAGCTGCACCACTAGCAAAATGGTTTGGGCATAATTATGTAATTAACAGAGAGTTTGTTAGCAACTGCGCTTCCCATCTCATCAGCCTGACTCTTGGCTGATGGCCTTGCTGCCTCCAGCCCCAGCTGGTGCTACACTCCCTGCCATCAGCCCTGGCCAGAACTGTGTTCCACACTGCACCAGCCCCTTTGGGGCTGGGTTCTCCACTGCCATCCCAACCTGTGCTGAGTTTCTGAAACAGGCCAGCCAGGGCTCTTTGGTCCAGCAATATTCAGGGTCCTGCTGGACCATGGATGTTGCCAGAGAATCCTGGATTTTAGAGGTTCAGCCTGTAGTGGCTTTATAGGTTGTTAAAACTGGCTGTGGGCCAGGCAAACGTAATCAAATAACGAAACATGCCTTTTACCCAACATTAACAACAGCAACAAGACTTAGCAGACCAAAGGCAAAAGTTTTTATTTGCCACTGGGAAAGTATTCAGCAATCCAGCCAAAACAAGAGGATAATTCTAAAATACCAGAGTCCCTTTCACTATACTTTCCCTAGCACCATTTGGGATTCAAACTTTCATCATTTTACTCCCCCAAATGAAGAGAAGAGGCTGGAAGCATACTGGCAGCCAGCATATAAATAACATGTTTCCAAGATTCTGAAAAACATGTTTGCATAATAAAAGCTTAGACACATATAATCAACTGTGGTTTTCTTTATTTGCTTAAGTGACACCTCACCACATGCATAATTTTTCTTTTCAGATAGTCTATTTAAACACTTAGAGACTAAATGCCATAAAGCAAAATAAATATTTGGCCCTTAACTTATTTGCATTTCCCTTGAGAACAACCTGGCTACGAGTCATGTTCATTCAGTTAATCTCTGTTTGAATATTGCAGTGGAAAGTTAATACACAATGGAAAGTTAATACAGCCATCCACTTTGGATCAATGTTGACAACCCCCTGCTTGAAGTATTCACCACTGTATAGTTTTAACATTTCTTGCCACAGTCCAAATAATATCATGCTGTCAAATACATTTTACTTATGAATGTGGCCAAGGAAGAGTTTCATAGGCTACTCCACAAACAGAGACAGGACTGAACTATTCCAGATGTTCTGTCACTTAACTGAAAGCTTTACAGAGACTTGGATACTTGAATTGTAATAAATGGTTCAAGAAAAGCTTATATAGCAGCACTAAGACAGCACTCCTTTTCCCTCTGTCCACGGGGAGCCCAGGAGTCTCGCAGGCAAGGACCACTCCAGCCCAGCCGTGGGAGGCAGGAAAGGGGCCTTCCAGCCCAGTGACGGTCTGTGCCCCCTTTAGTCAGTTAACCAGTTAAATATACTTTTATATCCCTATTTTGAATTTAGATCCAGACACGAATGAAGAAAGCTGATGGAGTCTGAAGTTGCAGATGACAGCAGCCTGGATATCAAGATAGACAAAATTATGCTGCCTTGGATAGACCATTGCCTCATCAAGCCAATGGCTCAGGCATTAGAAAAGACCAATCATCCTGATTTGACCACAAAGGCTCATTAACACCAACCAATTTCAAAGCCTGCTATATGACAGCAAACTTGTCATAGGATCAAGAGTCAAGGACTTAGGGAATAATCACCATTCTGCACTGGCCTCTGCTGCTTTACAAATAGACATGCTGATTTACAAATGGACCCCTTTCTTCTCCATCATCCACACCGACATCCTTAGTTTTTTGACATCTTGTGTCAAACAAAGAGAGAAGGGCAGCAACTCAAGCACAGATGCAGAAAACAAAGGTTGGTTCAAACAGGAAGAAACATGATAAATCATCAAAAGTCTACGCTGAGCCTGTATTACAGGACTCCGCCTTTCTATTGGTCTCCACTCAGGCTGCCAAATCCCTCCCCTAAGAGCTTTCCATATCAGTAAATCACTTCGGCTGTGTGTAGACTGCCATGATTTTGCGTAAAAGCGCCGCTTTTGCGCAAAATCTTGCTGCCTGTCTACACTGGCCGTGAGTATTTGTGCAAGAACACTGACTTTGTAATGTACAAAATCAGTGGTTCTTGCGTAAATACTCTGACGTATTCTTGCGCAAGAGGGCCAATGTAGACAGCAACGTTAATTTCTTGCACAAGAAAGCCCGATGGCTAAAATGGCAATCGGAGCATTCTTGCGCAAGAGAGCGTCTACACTGGCATGGTCTACACTGGCATCTTTTGCGCAAAGATACATGCCAATATAGACGCTCTTTTGCACAAATACGTTAAAAGTATTTGCACAAAATCATGCCAATCTAGACGCAGCCTTCATGAAACTTGAATGTTTACAACCAGCCCTGGAGCAGAGCACCAAACACACTGTCCTACTGTCCTACTTTGGTGAAAAGATGGTGCATATTTGAGAAGCTCTCTCAAGCAGCATGGATCCAGTGCGCCTGTACCCACCAACGAACAGCCCATCTACATTTCCCACAGTTCAGTACATTCACTCATCAATAAGTTCTTGACATTAAAAAAAAGAGGTCCAACGCAAGAC